TGCTGTCCCATCCCATGTCCTAACCTGACCTTACCCGTCTATCCATCCCTCTGCAATCCCTCTGTCCCCATTCATCCTTATCTCTATTCCTTATCCAACCATCCATCCCCATCCATCCCCATCCATCCATCCATCTGTCCATCCATCCCCACCCATCACTATTCATCCGTCCATCCATCCATCCATCCATCCATCCATCCATCCATCCATCCATCCATCCCCATCCATCCATCCATCTGTCCATCCATCCCCACCCATCACTATTCATCTGTCCATCCATCCATCCATCCATCCATCCATCCATCCCCATTCATCCTTTCATCTGTCCATCCACCTCCACCAATCCTGATCCATCCCTCCATCCCCATCCATCTGTCCATTCCCCCACCCATCCCCATCCATCTGTCCATCCCTCCATCCCTCCATCCCTCTCCACCATCCCCATCCCTCCATCCATCCCTATCCATCCCCACCAATCCCTGTCCATCTGTCCGTCCATCCCCATCCATGCAACTCTACCCACACACATGTCCATCCATCCATCCATCCACCCACCCACCCACAAATCCATCCATCCATCCCCATCCATCTGTCCATTCTTACCCATCCCAACCAATCCTGTCCATCTGTCCATCCATCCCCATCCATCTGTCCATCCCTACCCATCCCCACCAATCCTCATCCATCCACCCACCCACCCACCCATCCATCCATCCCTACCCACACACCCCCTCCCCCTGTCCCCACCTGTCCGTCTGTCTGTCCGTCTCTCTCTCTCTGCCCCGGTCTCTCTTTCACCCCCAGATTTTACCGCTGTGGTTCCAGAGACGCCTCGTTTGGACAGCAGCTTGCAGAAGGCTCGAGCTCGGCTGTTAGCCAAGAGCCGGCGGCACCGGCCCTCGCGCTCCCGCCTGCGAGACAGCGCCAGCTCCACCGAAGGCGAGGAGGGGCTGGAGGCGGCGGTGAGAGCCGGGGGGCACCGCGCCCCAGGGAGGATCTGGGGAAGGGGACGGTGGGAGGAAGGAGACACCTCCGGGAGGGGGGAACAGCCAGGGGTTGGAAGCCCCAGGGAGGGGGGCGGGGACCGATGGGGGGATTGACCCCTCCACCCTGCCCTGTGCCCCCACCCAGGGAGCCGAGGGCAGCCCCGCAGCCCCCGGCCGTTCGCCCCCCGCCGCTCCGCTGCTCCTGGCCCCCTCGCCCTCCTCCCGCTCGGAGTTCTCCTTCGAGGCGGGGGCGGTGTGCAGGGTGTTGGGGGATCCCCCCCCGGCCCCCTCGCCGCCCCTCGGCCGCTACCGACCCCTCACCAACGCCTCGTCCCAGGAGGGGCTGGCGGGCACGCCCTCGCCCAAGTCCTGCCCCAGCTCCGACAGCTCGCCCGGCTTCGCCCGCCGCGATGCGTGGCTCCAGCGGCACAGCGAAGGTGAGCTCCTCCCCCCCGGCCCCCTGCCCGCACCCTGGTGGGAGGGGCGTAGGGTGACACCCCATCCTCATCCCGCAGATGATAGCAGGGATATGAGCCCCCCCGAGCCGGCCAGCCCCACCGTGGGGCTGGATAAGAAGACGAGGAGAAAGTTCCTGGATTTGGGGTGAGAGCCAGAAGTGGGGAGGGTTGAAGGACGGGTGGTGGGGAGCAGTGGGAGTGTGGAGGAGGGGTTTCCATAGAGGTGGGGAGATGGATGGATGGATGGACGGAGAAGGTCTATGTGGATGGATGGATGGATGGATGGATGGATGGATGGATGGATGGATGGAGAAGGTCTCTATATATGGATGGATGGACGGATGAAAAAATGGATGGATGGATGGATGGATGGGGAAGGTCTCTATAGATGGATGGATGGATGGATGGATGGATGGATGGATGGATGGATGGATGCAACTGAAAAAGGACGGAAGGAGGAGGTTTGAGAATGGAGGGGAGGATGGGCAGGTCTCTGAAGATAGGAGGGAGGGATGGATGGGTAGATGGAGGGTCTGCAAAAATGGATGGATGGATGGATGGAGGATGGATGGATGGATGGATGGATGGATGTCTCTGTAGATGGATGGGTGGATGGATGGATGCATCTGTAAAAGGATGGAGGGAGGAGGTTTGAGGATGGAGGGATGGATGGACAGGTCTCTGAAGATGGATGAAAAGAGAAGGAAGGAGGAGGTCAGAAGATGGATGGATGGAAATATGGGGAGGGTCTCTGAAAATGGATGGATGGATAGATGAATGGTTGGAAGGATGGGGAGGGCCTCTCGAGGTGGAAGGAAGGCTGTCTGGATGAAGGAATCTCTGTAATGGTGGAGGGATGGATGGATGGGTGTCGAAGGACAGATGGAGGGATGGAGGGTTCTCTGAAGATGGATGGATGGATGGATGGATGGATGGATGGATGGATGGATGGATGGAGGCTGCGAGGTCAGACTGGGGGCTGCGGGGAGCACAGCCCCTGGGAACCCAGCTGCCCACCAAAGCAGCCCCTCCCACACAGGGTCACCCTTCGCCGGGCATCCTCCAGCAAGAGCCGCAAGGAGAAGGGCAGCAATCGCCTGTCCATGGGCAGCAGGTTGGGACCCCCACCCCACAACGGGGGCTGCCAGGCCCTGTGCAGCACAGGGGGCAGCTCTGGGACCCTAACACAGCTCTGTCCCCAGGGAGGTGTCAGAAGGTCCCGGCCGCCCCTCGGGGTCACCCTTCCTGCCCTTCTCCTGGTTCTCAGATGGTGCCCGGGGCTCAGCCTCACCTGGCTCTGCATCACCCACCGGTTCCCCCCGGCACGATGGGCTCAGCCCTGCCAAATCTGCCTCCCAGGTCAGTGCCAGCGGTCTCCCATCTCCATTGGAGTGGGTGGTTGTAGGGATGGGGGTAGAGGAGTCTTACAGGGCTGGGATCCTGCAGAGAAGGCTCTCAGTCCCCCTGTGGCTCAAGAAGTTATAGGGGAAGAGGTCAAAGTCCCCAGGTTTTGGGTCACTATAGGGACAAAGACCCATATGGTCAAAATAGCTATTGGGGAGAAGTTCAAAGCCCTGTAGAGTGAAGGAAGTTATGGGGAAGGTGGGGATCAAAGCTCCATAGGGGCGAGATAGCTATAGCAAAAGGGGGAATCAAAGATCTATGGGATCAAGCTAACTCTAGGGGAGGGCATCAAAGCCCTGTAGAGTCAGGACACCTTTGGGGTCCGGGGGCTGCATGCTGCCCTGGGGGCCCAGCCTTTGCTCCTCCCTCTGCCCTATAGGACTCAACGCTGAGTGAGGACTCCCCACCGCCCAGCTCCAGCCCACGCCTGCCCGGCCCCGCTGCCACCAAGTGCTCCTACCCCTATCACACACTGTCACAGTCCTCGGATGAGGTGAGTCCCAGGGGTGGGGGAATGAGATTGATGTCATTGGGTGCCACACGTCCCCTGCTAACGCCTGGATCCTGCACCCAGTTCCTGGATGAGCCCCCCGGTGCGGCCATGGGCTGGACGTGCCACCAGGTTGGGCAGTGGCTGGAGAGCCTCAGCCTGGAGCAGTACGTGGAAGAGTTCTCAGCTCATGGCATCGATGGCCCCCGGCTCCTGCATCTCGATGGGGCCAAGCTCAAGGTAGGGAACTGAGTGGGTTCCTACACCTCTGGGGGGTTTTAGGGATGCTGATAGGCTCGGGCATGAGGCAAGAGTTTCTAGGTGTGCCAACAAGGTGCTCTACGGGGTAGGAGGTCTGTGAGGGTTCTAGGTACCCCAAATGACTCATCAGAAGATAAAAGGCTCTAGGTACCCCAACAAGCGACTCTGTCTATGGGATGGGATGTCTGAGTGGGTTCTAGATCCCTTAATGGACTTCTTTAATGGGGCAGGTTTAGTTGGGGTCTAAGTACCACAACAGGCAGCACTATGGGGTAGGAGATCTAGGTGGGTTCTAGGTAACCCAATGGCTGCAGAGGACACCAGGCTCTAGATGACCCAACAGGCAGCTCCATGGGACAGAGATGGCTAGGTTCTAGGTTCACCAACAGACTCCTCAAAGGACAACAGGTTCTAGGTATCCCAACAGCCTGCTCCATGGGACAGGTACATCACCATGCTCAAAGGACAGCCGGTCCTACACACCCCAACAAGCTGCTCCATGGGGCAGAAGGCAGGACAGGCTTTGGGCAGCCTAAGAGACCGGCTTCTAGACCACTCACTCATGGGGCTGGTGAATAGGGCAGGGGGGCCGTGTGCCCCAAGGCTGGGCTGGGGGGGCCGTGTGCCCCTTCTGGCAGCACTCGGTGTGCTGGCAGGCTCTGGGCGTGGGCAGCTCTCAGGATCGCGCCGTGCTCAAGCGCAAGCTGAAGGAGCTGAGCCTGGCAGTGGAGAAGGAGCGCAAAGCCCAGGAGAAGGCAGAAAAGCAGCGGGAGAAGCAGAAGAAAAGGGACCAGGAGCA